CAAACAACCAGCACTTTATAACTGATTCTAGGGTCCAACAATTGAGTGCAGTTATCGAATGTTTTATTATGGCACACAGCACCATCCATGTGCCAGAGATGTACTCCACAAAAAGCTTTGTGATCCTTGTTTTAAAATGCATCCAAATGAGAAGATGTTTTGAGAAACAGCACTCTTAAAAATTACTGTAATTGATGAAGGACTGCAGTGAATTAATTTCAGCTGACTCAGATGGTGGCCATAATAACTACAGCTCAGCCTGGAATATACAACTCTTCATTGATCCACTGTCATCTTGCAAGAGAGGTAAAACATGGGAAAACATTTAGAATTACATTTAGAATTATCTAGGTGATCACAAAAGAGCGTAGGAAATATGAAAAGAACAAAATGTAACAGAGTTCTGAAAGTTATCTGTTCCAGGAAAACAATTGGTTTAATGTCCACATTCTGTTTTGCACTTCTGGTAGAAGTTTGAAAGAGAGAGACCGGAGGCACATTCCAAAAGTCCACTTACTGGTTAATTTATCAGAGCATGTTTACATGATGGTTAAGGGGCCTTTGACTGTAGCTACATTTTGAAATTTGGACTATGATACTGGATGCTATTTGGTTTTAAATTGTATCTTTGATGTGGCTCACTGTGGCTAGAATGGAGCTAGAACTGAGATATAAAGATTTCTTTGTGATAAATTTACCCATTAGGATGCAGGGGAGAAATGTAATGATCTAGTCTTCTAAAACGTACTCCCCATCTTAATTCCCTTTTTTTGGTCCACACTGGTTCTGTTGTAATATGATGAGTGCTAAAATTGTGTGTTCTGTGGACATTAACATAGATTTAGAAAAATAAACACATTTTCACAATTTCAGGGAAGATTGCAATAAAAAAACCCTATGATGAATATCTGGCAGAGAAAGGGATAATGCAGCCAATATAGAGTGGCCTAAGTATTGAAAGTGACCAGGGAATAAATAGCAATAGACTAGTTCACAATTTCCCTGCCTATGGTGTACATGACAAGAAATATTTTCTTGAAAGAGAAATTGCACCTATACATTTTCACAGAAGAAGGATGGATCACTGAAGGAGAGACAAGGTCAACATCAATTTATATACATAACTGTCTGGCATCAGAATGACACATTTTATCAACTTAATCCCTTAATGATACAACATGATAGATATGGTTATTTTCAGTTGTGCATTGTGTTTTTTCTTGTGTGCCAAGAGGCAGCTCTTGTAAAACACACCAGAAAAAACAAACAACAAAAAAACATACCAATGGGTGTTTGGAGGAATTTAAAAATAAGTATAAGTTTTATTACCAATCTAGATAAGAAAGGAAAGCCTGGACTAAAGAAAACCATCAGCAGTTGATTTCTAAGCCCTTCTAGAAAATGACCATGTTACCCAAGGCCAAAAGGTAAAATAATGCAGACAAATGGTAGCAGTCAGATCTGACCAACAAAACAGTTTGTGCTGACTTTCCATGATCTTCTGGGGTGTTACAAAAACTGTTAGCAGTAAAATGACTTATGCTAACACACATCACAGCTTTCAATTCTAGTATCCATATGCCCAACATAGAACATTTCAGATAAAGCTCTATTTTAAGCTTTGCAAAATTATAAGCAATTGAAAACAGGCTTTTAAAATGGGAAGTGACAGAGTAACTTAGAACTATCAGACTGGCCTATAATGTAAAGACAGGTCCAAACTATAACATGGGCGATCAAATTGTCAAGTTTCAGAAAGGTCAGACCCTGAACGCAAAATGTATGTATGACCCTTATTTCCATATATAGACTAATGGGGACCAACTGAGCTCTGCACAAACATTAAAGAGACTACTGGGAGGCTTTGTCTAAAGCTGGATTAACAACAACAGGCACAAGGGCTTTAATTTAAGGCAATAGAAAAGTCTTTTTTTTTTACTTCAATCAACTTTGCATGAGGTCCTTGATGTTCTGGTACACATTAGCCACTACTTTGAAGACTTTGAACTCTCTAGATCTCCTAGTCATCATTTATAAAGACAATTAGAATATCCTCAAATAATGTTAGCTTGTTGTAAATGAGCCTACATTTATTTAAAATAATGGGCTTAATAGATATGAAAAATACAAAATATTGTGATGCAATAAGAATAGGACCACTATAGGAGGCTGGGGGAGTGAAGAGTTGTCCTGTTCTAACTAAGCAGACAGCTGTTTATTTGGCACACTCCCTGGTGATACACATGCCATAGCACAGGTCAGAACCAAGGCTCATCAAAAGTCAGAACACTTTTAACAAATCACATTTTTGTTTATGAGCAAATCTATTGCTCAGCATGAGCCAGGTTATAATGTTCATTCAGAGGTGAATAATTTGTTCAACCAACTTAGAAGAACCCCTTACGCACCCTCATGAAACATTTCATATGTAATATATTGCATTTCTTTTCCTGTTTCAATTATTTCTAAAGGTCAGTTTCTGCTTTTCAGAATCTATAAAAGGAATTAGTGAACACTTATTCTCTTTCAAATCAAAGCCCAACACTCCTGCCATCCAACATTACTAATATGCACCAGGAGCAGAGCCTTGCAGGAAAAGCCTGAAAGTCAGTGAAGGCTCCTCTTGTTGCTTCACTAGAATGCATAAAGTGAGAGCATCCTCAATTGTTCTAGTGTTAGGAGGGCTGGGTCAAATACAATAAAATAATACAATCTGACTCTCAATAATTTATAGAGCATCCATCCACATTTCCCCAACAGTCCATTGATGCAACAGAACATACAATCCCCTTCCACATCCCCATCCTGAGTCTTAAATTGGTTTTCCTCACTCTGTTGCAAATACTGTGAAGTTTACAGATAAGATGGCTATAGTTGTGTCTTCAAAAACAATGTTATTTCCCAGTGACATGTGAGTGCTGTGGAGGAGCTTTAGATATTCAGTTCAGAAGTAGATCTTCCACAGATCTGATCATTTTCTTTTTCCTATTTTCAACCTTTTTTTCCTTTCTTCTGGGTCCTATGTCTGTGGAGGGGCCTGGCTGAAATGTCACCTCTCCTCAGGCCTTCAATAAGTAAACCAAAACTTGATTTTTGTAATAGTTCAGGTGTGGCTGTTTTCCAGGATAGGAGAAAATCTAAATTTCAAAGACTCTAAAAGCTGCAGGTTGCAATGATGAAAAGTGACTCATTGTGATGAATGAACATGCATGTGCACCAACAAAAAACATACTTGTTTTAGTGTTGTCTTAAAAGTGTTTTGGGTTCTAAAATTAAGCAGCTAATTATATACCATGGCTCTTTAAAAAAACCCATATATGAAATCTAACCCATGGTTCACTGGCACAAAAGACTTCAATAGTTAAATGACAATCGTAGTCAAACCCCAAATTAGATTGTTGTTGCCACTGGAGATCTGTTCTAGCTCATGTCCCTTTGCATGGGAAATGCAGACTTCTTGTCAAAATCACTAGATTTGTCTTTTATGAAGGAAGACATTGTTTGTGGGGACTGATGAGGGAGAGAGGCTACTTAAAAACTGTCTTAAGCAAAGAGTTCAAAGTGTCCTATCCCCCCACCCTTTTTTTTTTAAGACAAAAGTAACTAGCTAAGTGCAAGGCTTGCACCTAAGCACTGTACTGGCAAAACATTTGTGCTCCAAATGCTCCAGGAGATATTTTCCTGCTTGAGGAAGGGGTGTTTGGAAGGGAGCATAGGCTTGAACAGCTGGTAGCTGGGGAATTTCAGTTGGGTAAGAGGAGTCTTTCCCTCCCTCCAAGAGGTGGACAGTTTGTTCTCAGTAAAACTTGAGACCCATCAGGGGACACTGATGCCAATGACAGTTCCTTTTTGATCTCCTGAGAGTCCCCTTTTCTGTGGACAGTCTCTTAATTGAATAAGCAAAGCATGCCAAGGCTGTCATAGCCCCCTCCTGTCTTCCCAGATCTCTGAAACAGATCCAGCTTCCCCCCACCTTGGGTTCATTGTCATTCAAGACCATGTAGAAATGTAATGCATATAGAAATGTTGGGGGGAGGGGTGTCTTATAATGGACTCTCTCATTGGATTTATAAAAGTGGATGTTGGCTGTTTTTTGTTTCTTCCAAAAGAGTGTCTAATAGGATTAATTTGAAGGCTGTGGATGTGAGTTACCATTTCTTTTTCCAAGTGAGACAGAGAAGGGCATGGGGCAGGGCTGCAAGGGACACCCTGCCAGCAAGTTCTGCTTCATGCTTCTCCATCAATTAGTCTTTTAAAGTCTGCTCAAAACAGGCAGGCTATCAATGAGGTTTCTAGTTCAGCTTCACTTTGTATCCATTTTCCCTATGTTGGTTGTCACTTATTTTGATGCTCAGAAGCTGGCAGGTCAGAGAGTGAGAAATGAACAGGAGGAGAGAGGCAGAGGCACATACACATATAAGCACAGGATCCATTCTTGTTCATGTTAATATCAGTAGCAAATCTCCCATTGATTTCCACAGGTGCAGGCCATGCAGAAAGTGAATAGTAGAAGCAGACAGACAGCAAGGAGCTGTCCAACTTCTCTCTTTGACATTGGGTTTAGCCATTGGAAGAACCTCTTTACACAACTGCAAAAAGTAAATTACTCTGAATAGCATACAGCAATGTATTTTACATTAAAGAAGATTTGTCTCTGCAAGGATGTCTTGATAACTGTGCTCTGAAAAGGAACTTTGTTCCCTACTTTAATCCCAAAGGCTATTTTTTTTCTACTGACAAGTTATAAAAACATAGCAGGGGGTTATTTTTGGGGGTGGGGGGCGGGGGAATAATAACTGTGACAATACAGTTCAATAATTGTAGAGATCTGCCTAAAGAGGGTTGTCAATACACTCTCCAAACCTAAAAGGATTACTGTTTACAATAACTTCTGCTTCTTATAACCCATCAGAATCTAGACATTAAAATCTATGTCTTTTGTACAGTTTTCTGCTTGGACATTGCTCAGTTACTGAAGGATTGTACTCTATAGATGGGTGTTGCTTTTATTTATTTATTTATTTTTTACAAGAGTGAGGCAGTAGGTTTGTATCAAATAACTATACTCAAAGGGGCAACAAATGCCTCAGTGGGTAGGATCTAAAGTCCATGGAGTTTCATTGACTGATGCCAACTGAAGATCTAGCCCAAGGACTTGCAAAGATGATGAAACAAGAAAGTAATGGAGGAGAAGTCATCTGGAAAAAAGAAACAAGACAGAAGTTGAACCTAATAAGTCCAACGGTGCAACTTTAACACACACGATATCTGGGAAGATTGAGAACTAAGTGCACAAGACTCATAGTTAATGCTTCTTACTCCATCATACTGCCTCAGTCTTGTAACAGAATGGTGATAACATCAGGCCAGATCAGAACTGGAAAATATTGTTAGACATGTCTCCCCTAAACAGCCACTGTGCATCATAACACTTCAGTTGTACAGTCATGGTTTAGAAAGGCTTAAATAAAATTTGCTGCATTGGATGGATATTAATATCTGTCATAGGTTCCATGGTATTTTCCTATCTGCTATGCTTCGTTTCAAAATCCAGAGTTTTTAAAAAACAGCTGGTTTTTCTTTCTGCTGCATACTATGTGTCACAAAATAAATTGCAAAGTTTGTCAGGGAAAGTATTTACCTCCTTGGTTCCCCACCACTCCCTGCCAAAAATCTGAAATGTTGGCTCTTTGATGACTTTTGTAAGCCTGATAAGGCACTTGCCTTCATGCAACATACCATGTCAAATTTTAGAGACAGGCTGGAGTACAGAATCTCAGAGTTCAGTCTGTAATACAGATTTCCAATCTGTTCAAAGGGCACCTTTATTTTATAAGAGGATCTTGTTGTGCATGCAGCTATGAAACTGTAGTTCCATTGTTTTCTATGTGCTATTTCTAAGAATTCTGCTTGTAGAAAGAAACAGCAGCCATTTTGTTCCTTCAGCTACCACAGATTTTTATAGAGAAGGGCACACTGAACTCTCTCATGGAGAGTGCAATTGTTTCATTTAATCAAAAATAAATCATTTTGAACTTAATACTTTGAAGCAGTTTGCATACAAAAAGCAGTTCACATGAGATATCTGCAAGTGCTAATTAATGAAGTACCTGTGTGTATGTGCACACACGTGCTATATAGATGCTGTTACCATCTCCTACCACCATTAAAGTACAATGAATTATACCATAACACACCCTCTGCAGGTGAGTGGGTGAAGATTACATTATTGCAGAGATACATCACCATTTGGGTTCTGCTGCCTTTGAGGAGATCCACTGAGGCAAAACTGTGGTTGAACGCAAGATTGGGCCAACCATCCAGGGATACAGAGTTAAATCTTAATCTCTCCCATATGTGTACAGAGCAACTAACAGAAACAAAAAGTGGTTTTTATTCTTCCTTTCTCTATTAACTCATTTCAACCTGTAGAATTATGGCATGTAAATTATAACTAGGAGGAACTGTTACAATTATTTAGGTTACCTCTTACATTAAAGATACTAGAGACTACTCCAAAATTAAAGTTTATGTCAATCAAACAGTAAAAAACATCTAACACATGAACATTAGAATCTCAGGTGTTGGAAACCCACTTTAGCTAGTAGGCAAAAAAGTCCTTTGCTTGTTATTTATTACCTTCTGGAACTAATTTAAACTATCCCATTGTTTTTCCAGCATAAGCTGCAGAGGAATTTGCATGTATACTGCTCAATTCCAAAGCTGATCCTATAATCATAACAGTCAAATACAATCATTAGTAACTTTGCTAGTAACTTACACATTAGTATTCAAAATTTTCTGAAAAAAAATTATATGGAAGTTTTGAAGAGGTAATAACAAGCTGATTACTATACTCTCCAGCATATAACATTCCTCCAAATGAGATATGGACCTTCTGTTTGAAAGGAAGAATGAAGAAAAAAAATATCTCTTTCCTTGAAAAGCCTGGTAAGTTGTAGTTAGTAGCAGCAGCTAGGGAGCTGAGCATGCTTATTGTGCTGCTCCTTATGGAGCACGTGCTTGGCTATGAATCTAAAGTTACAGGAAATATAAATACTATTACCATATTATCTCTCTTAAAGTACACATTAATTTTCAAGAGCTGATTTTTAGAAATGGGTGAGTGTTGCATGCAAAAAATATATAGCAATAGCTTGAGAAATATGGAGGGTGGGGAAGAATTAGACTTACCAGAAACAATCTCAGTTATTAATTTTTGTGAATAAACTCATAGGTTTACTTCAGATCCTCAGGAAAATTCAGGTCTTCATTCATAGAATTTGTGATGCATTCTTCACATAAAGGGGTTGAATTCTTGCTTTAGTAAAAAAAAAAAAAAAAAGAATTTCAACTTAATTATAATATCCTAACCAGCACTTCTATAACAAGACACAAGCAGGTATGAATTATAGGGCTATAATGCTCGAGTCATTCTGGTCCATCTGCACCAATTTTAAAGTCCATCTTCACTGAGAAAAAAGGCCATTAGAAGCATGTATCTTCTTTGACAAAACTTTCTTTAAAATAGAACATTACAGTTAAAAATTACTCGGACAGAGGGTGAAGAACTATGTATAACTGCAGCCAACTCATCAGTATTATAGTACTAAAAAAATTCTACATTCTATTTTAAAATAGAAACTGCATACCTAGATTTCAGCAAAGATTCACTCAGAGCCAGGGCTTTTTTCATTCTCTTTTAAATGTCTCTCATGAAGAGGGTTCGGGGGGGAACCAAACAAGTAATATAGCACACAATGTGTTATTTAATAATAAGAGTTAGAAAGCAAGCTGGGGAAACCTTTTAAAAGCTACAAGACATTTAAAAGCACTTTAAAAGTGGCTAGTAAATAGGGTTGTGAAATCCCTTTACGTTAATTTAGACTCCTGTAAAGGCTTGAATGAACAGCTTTGCAATCTTTCAACAAATTTCAGAAGAAAGACAATATAATGATCTTCTTTCCCCTTGTTCAGCACTTTCATGGCACCAAGATTGTGATTTAGAAAATGCTAAGTGGGCCAAGCAATATCCTATACAAACAGCATGTTGGGCCTTTTAGAAAAGGATCCTACCCACAATGAAATCTAAGGAAGTCATGCCATTGCCTCTGCTGGAAGCAAAAGCAGGCCACAGATACAAGAATTAGTTTACCTACCCCTGAAGTGAAGCAAGGCAAGCATTCAATAATACATCATACTTTAGGACAAGAAAGAAGAATGGGTGGATGTCTCCTTCATTCTGTTGAAAGAACAGAGGAAATTTAAATAGTCAAAATGGAATTATCCCATTTAGTAATTTGAGCAGGACCCCAGGGCAAACCATTATCTCTGTTCTTACAAAAAGCCCCATGCAATTTTTAATTATAAGTTATCAGGAAAGAGAAAGGGAAATATAACACACACCCTTCTCAAAACCTTTCAGCCTGTAAAAGGGTTCAGAAAAGGCAGCATGAGTCATTTGCTAGCCCTGAAGCCTAGCTCTGCAGTCAGTTAACCTGCAGGGAGGCTTCAGATCAGCTACTGCACAGAGCAGGGGAGCTGCTGGCACAACAGCAAAGGTGGGGAGATAAGGCTGCATGCAGTCAACACTGGCAATGTGGAAGAAGAGAGGACCAGCTTCCTGCCTGCTGGCTTCACACAGGACAGGAAGGAAAACATTCACTAGACCACGCAGGCAAGCATCTAGGTACTGCCACAGGCAGATCCAGAGTGGATGCAGTGGCACGGTCGCATCCCCTTTTCATGCCATGGAAGCAGAAGCCAGGGACTTCTTTTTCAAGTCCCTGAATCAAGTAAAAAATTCCGCTCTCCCCACTTCCCCTTTGTGCTCAACAGCACCTCCTCTACTCTCCCCTTCCATTTACCCCTTCTGCTACTGCTGTCCCCAGTTACTCTGGGGACAGCAGTGGGTGGGGGCAAATGGGAGAGGGTGACAGGTGTCACTGGGTACAGAATGGAGGGGAGGTGGTGTTTACATGTTTCAGGGGCCTAAAAAAATGTCCCTGGCTGCTACCCATCTCAGTGATAGGGGGTAAGAATTGGGGAGTGGGGGACAGCCACCCCTGCAGCAGTAGCCGCTGCCCCTACACCCCCCTTTTACAAAATTCTGGTCTGCCTGTGGGCAGTTCCCAGGCTGGGACTGGGCCTACCAGTGCCTAGTTGGGAAGTGTGTCCACAGAAGAACATACACACATAGGGCAGGGCTTAGACAGCTTTGATGAGGGAACATAGACAGAAAGGGAAAAGAGATTATTTGTATCAAAGGACACGGACATAGCAACAAAGAGCAATTGGACTGGGAAGGCAGGAAACGAGAGGTAGTTGAGGGTTTTTTTGCAATACATCCCTTCAGACAGACACCTATGGACACTATGAAAATTGCTTGTTAGGTCTCTACCTGCCTCCTTTGTCTCCCTGGAGGCTTCCAAGATAGCAGCCAGCATGCAGCAGAAACAGGGAAAGTGGCTGGCCACTAAGTCTCTTCAGAAGAAAGGGAGTGGTAAGACTAAGCAAGCCTCTGAGCTGGGTAAAAAGCCACATTTTACAGCAAACTGCTAATCCAAAATGCTACCCAACCCTGAGATTCCAGTTACCCTAAATCTCATTTTCTCCATTGCTTCCAGCTTCATACACCCATGTAGAAACTCTCCTAAGTCCAAGCTTGTTCTTTTCTGTTCATCATCTTCCCATGGTACCATGCCCCACAACTTCCACTTTTCCTGCTACTTTATGCATATCCCCTAGAGGCAGATTGAAGTATGCAAAATGGATTGTGAAAGCATGTCAGGAAGATGAAGGATTGCACTGTTATAGCCAGTGATAAGTAACTAGGGCTTTTAGAGGGGGTGCAAGAACAACAGCCACAGCTGGCCCAGCCCCTGCTACCCAGGGGATAGACCTTGGTAGTTAAGCCTCTACTTTCAGGAAGGTGAGTTGTTTGTAATCCTTTTGATTGAGGAAGCCTGTCAATCATTAGTAACAAAGGTTGCAATTTGGAGATGACTTTAGACCCCCAGTTGCAGCAGTGCCCCATCAGCTTTTTATCATGTATCTGGCTATGTGGTTACAATCTTTTCTTTCAGATGTGGATTTTGCCACTGCTATTTTTTTGTCACTTCAAGATTAGATTATTGCAATGGGATTGGTGACCCTTAAAAACATTTAAAAATTGAAGCAGATGCTTGCTGAGTGCAAGGCATCACTGTGGCTGTAGGGAACACAAAAAGCAATGGCCACAACCTGTAGCAGAAGAAATTTAAGTTGGAGATTAGAAGGAACTTTCTGATGGGGGGGGAGGGAGAGGGAGGGAAAAGCATTGGAACAGGCTACCTAGAAAATTTCAAGAGCAGGAATTCAAGAGTGGAATTTTCAACAGCAGGTGAGACAGCCTTGACTAGGATGGTTCAGTCAGGAATGATTCTACCTTGAGCAGGGGGCTGGACTAGATGATCTTGTGAGATCCCTTCCAGCCTACTTTCCTATAAACTCACTGGGAATATATGATGATATTGGGTCTTTACTATCTAGTGGCCTCTGGATAGCTGTAAGTGCTGGTTATGACCAGTAAAGACCTTTGATACCCAGTAGATTTTCTCAAAGAATTGTGTATTTTCTCTCTCCTTTTCCTGCCACAGATATAAACAGAAGAGTTGCTTAAGTTAGATGTCTCCTAGTAGAAAAGGGAGGAGGTAGCTGGCAGGTTGTTCTCTATGACAGCAGCAGGGGTGTGGAACTTGCTCCAGTTTGGCTTGAATTAGTCCAAATACTGGTGAGCTTCCAGGCATGCTGCAAGAGACAATGGTTTAATCAGGTTTTGGGAAAAGGGTGGGGTAAGGAAAGAAGTTTCTGCAGATGCTTGGCTGGCTGAGTTTCTGCTGACATTATTGCTTTAATGCTACTGGTATTTTATTAATAACAGGGTACCTAGTGTCTTGGACAGGTGCTTTTTTATTATTGTTTTAAATCTAAATAAATAAATACATGCATTTGCTCTAATAAGTTTATGTTGCAGTAAATCATCCAAGTACTCACATCCCTTATTTATTATATGCACAAGGTATCCTTACTATGCCTTCTTGAATTAAGAGACATATTAAACAGGGAGACAGCTGTTTTGATTTATCCTGATAAACAGGCAGGGTTTCTTCATGCTGGAATGAAATATCCATAGATTCTATCAACAGTTTATTAACATTGAGACTGTTTATGGTAAATGCCCTTCAGGGGCTTGCCTGTGATTTTAGAAAGGGAGGGCTGAGAATAGGGTCCAGATGATTAGAGTTTCTGCCGAAGAAATGGGAAACATTGGGACCTGAAATATCTAAAGCTTTCAACCAATGATTTGGGTATCACCCAGAACAGGGGTAAAGGAGCTGATTGCAGAGGGAAACAGGCACAGCAGATAGAAAGAAATGGTCTGGAAGTAGAGATGAAAGGGATAAAATAAGTAAGCACTTCATAAATAATGCATTTGAGTACATGCCTCCCCCAAGAACCTCAACCCGCCTTAATGAAATGGCAGAGCAGGGTGGCATGTTACAGACTCAGTGGCTGCCAATCTTTTTGGCAGGAGCACCACAGATTAGTTCCACACCTTCTCAGTGTTACTCCAGTCCCCTTCCCCTGACTAATCTGTTGCTCTGCTTTCTGCTTCCTGCCCTTCATTCCCTGACCTGCTGCTCTGCTCTCAGCCCTGTCTGCCACTGTGCTGCTTGTCCCCTCCTTGATCTGCCATGTGCTACACAGAGGCAGTCTGTGCCATTTGTAGCACTTGTGCAGCAGGTTGCCCTCCCCCTGGACTACTAATTTGATCACAGAATCATGAGCTTCCATGGGCTATAGGCATTTGATGAAGTAGGATACAGCCTATAAAAGCTCATGCCTCTGAACAAGTTAAGTCTGTAAAGTGCTACCCTGACCTGCCTAACTTCAGACTAACATGATTAACTGCTTCTTTCTATTCCTTAAGAGAGAACCAAAAATATATTGCATGCAGAAAAAGGGACTGTGAACTCCACCTAAGCTTCTAAGCAGAATTAAAACAGATGCATTAATTCAACTCACCAAAGAGGTAGACTGTTACAACTGATCTGAGCCTTAAAGGGATTTCATCAGTGGTTCTCAACTAGGGAGCCACAAGACCCTGTTGAGGATGTTACAAAACCAACACCACTGCAGCTAGGTGAGACTGCCCTGTGTGCCTGTTTCCAGGATCAGCAAGTGGCTGCAGCAGGAGTGGCTAAATCAGTCTCTGGTCGATGTTTTCCTGATCCAGTCCCACACCTGCCTTCTGGAAAGAGGCACATGGGACAGTGCCATGTGGCAGCAGCCTAGAGAAACAGCCAGTGGAAAACCACTTTTCTGTGGATTTATCTCCAGGTTGCTGTGCTGTTGCCGCTGAGGCCAAGTGGAACTGTCCCATGACTTCTGTTTTCAAGAGCTGAGTGCAGGACTGGACTAGAAAAGCACCCGCCAGAGTCAGATTCAGTTGCAATGCTGTGAGCAGTTAATAAAAAGTAGGATCTAATGAACCATGACACTTTTATCAGCATGTCACCTTATCTTGCTCTTAGTACTGCATTATTACTGGGATCTCAGTTCTGAGAAAGGTACAGTAACAGAGTGATAAAATTTAAAGTGGCCAAATGATTTAATGGTGCTTGTTTCTCACTTTGCAAGAAGTGAGTCTTTTTTGTGACACAAATCAAATGGGGGGGCTGCTCCAAGAAGCCCTTATATCAGAATACGACTGTAACTACTAGGCTGCTTTTGTTTGCTGATGTAGACATGCATGATATACAGGAGTAGATCTGAAAATGGTACAAACTAGGGATAAATTGAATTCCCTATTCCTGACTTCTGCAGTACCAGATTTGTACTATACAAGTACCTCCAACGCCTCTAATGCACCTCTTTAGAGCACCTCTAATGAAGCAAATGGGAGCCAATGCAAATAGCACGGGGTTTAATATGAAAACCAAGCTAAAATTGTTGTGCTACCCTGTGTGTTTTAGCTCAAATAAACTTTTCCTGAATCAGCATTTCTCATACAAAATATTTAACAGACATTTATAAGTATGGGAAAACAGCAGGATTTTGTAAAGCGGAGCTATTTTGAGAAGACAGTTACTGCATGGGAAGAGATGAGGTTAAAACAGAAATCATATTTAAAGTAATGGGGAGGGATATCCTTTTTACAGAATTTTAAGTATCCAAAATAATTCTATAATGGCAACATCTATTAAGCAATTAAAAAAATCTACAAAGGACATCAAAGGCATTGTTTTCATTTATATGTACATAGTTTTAATACCACCTGCTTTATACAACTACTTTATTATTTTGAAACACTCTTTGTTTTATCCCTGCTACATTCTGTGAGACAAAGGGGAAAAGGTGCTGCAGCAGCCTAGAAGAGAATCACCACTGTAGGGATAAACCCTTTTTTCTGCTTTAGCAGCTGGACCTTCCACATCGGAAAGTAGGAACTAGGGGCATCAGAGATTACTGATGAGAAACAGACCTGACCAGGAAATGCTTTTCCCTGT